ATTTACGTCCCCAATTTGGAATTTTTTAAAATATAGGGAAATCGTTAAAGATGTTATTTTCTTAAGTTGTGCTCGTTTTAATCTAAACATAAGAAGTTAGATGATATCCTACTAATATATGTGAATTGTCCATAGGAACTAAAATTCTTTACAAAAATTCTTCGATGATGTAACTTTTTACAATGCAACTCTCACACTTTCTCGCGTTCTCACATATTCCTCCAATGCTTTACATTTACGAGTTGTACACGTATCTCAAATACACGTGACAACATAGTCCATTGTCCCAAGCAAGTTGCAAAGTAAGATGTTTCATTATGAATATTAGAATTGATGCTTATCTTTTGGCAATATTTTTAATCATGAGCTCAAGCAAACATTTCTATATGAAAAAAAAAAGAATCGGGAAGAGTTTCTCAAGCAAATATATCGTGATAATAATTTCATTTTGCAGTATACTCAAATGTAATACATCTAAAACCTTATTGGCTGTCACATGAAGCAATGAATACATGACAATCACAAAATTTGATATTAACAAGTGTAAAGTCCCCGTGTCTAGATAATACTTTAAGTTTGAAAAGTACTTGAGTAACTTTTTGAAATTTAGAATTCTAAAGATATAATGTAATCTTATTGTTTTTTTTCTTGTGATAAATAAAGTGCCGATGAATTAAAAGTCATTTTATTTTCGATCTTTAGTTCTACTTTTTCTCTAGTGCATTATCTCCAAGTCCAATATTGATGATATTCCATCCCTTATCGTTATTGGAGTAATGAAGTGTGTTAATTACATAATTTACATAATTGTCTCATTAAACTAGTGACATATGAACTTGTCCAACAATCCTTTAAGCCACCGTTTGACGATCATTATTTGAAAACACTTCTACACACTCATTTTCAACCACATATTCTCATAATAAAATATTTTGTACATAAATCAATCTTTTTTTTTCCAGTTTTTTAACCACACATGCTCATAAATATCACTATTTATAACATAATTTTTTCAAATAATGATTGTTAAACAGGGGCTAAATATTTATTACATTGTAATGCCTAGTTGATTTATGCCTCTAGTCGATGACACCGACATAAGATGAAAAAATTAAGTTAAAGAAAAGAAAATTTCATATATAAGAGATTACGTATGACCCATTTCAAAACGAAAAAATAAGGTTTAAAACTTCAAAAATTAGATTTAATTAAATTTTATTTATGAAATAATTAACTAAAACTATATTTTATTAATTAAATATATTAAGGTCACAATATGAATTAATTAGTCACAAATTATTTTTCAATCACAAATCAAAAGTTTTATAGGTCTCAAATTATTTTACAATCACAAATCAAAAATTTTATATATCACAATTTATTCATAGGCCACAAATCAAAAATTGTATAGGTCAGAATTTATTTACCGATTATTTAACAGTCATAAATTATCAAATTAGTTAATCAAAAATTATTTTTTGATCAAAACTTAATAAATTGTGAGTTATAATTGTTGTAAATGGCAAGTTTATTAGTGAATGATAATTGTGCCCCTACAGTCCTAGAAATTATTACCGCTGTATCCCTGGTTCCTACATATAAATATAGGGCTTTTGATTTTAATAAAACACACAAAAATTTTATTGACTTTCATTCTCTATTCTCTTTTTTCTTTTTCAATAAAACGTTATCAGGACAAAAGTTTAATCTTCAAAGTCTGGTGAATGTAGTAATTTTTTAAGTATAATAATCTATCATGTATACCAAAAATTAATTTGGTAACATGTGATTTTTTTATTCATATAAATGTAACCAATTTCTTCTATCCGTGGTAGCTGTAATCACGCTACAGTTGTGCGCATCAATATAAGGGCTTTGCATTAAATTCTCACAATTGCTTTGCACTAAATCACGACGTCTATTTGTATCCATCATTGTGTCAATTTGTGTAAATTTTATATATGATTGCACCTCCATGTTTCCTTGCATGCAATATGTTAGCGTTCTCTCTCTCCCTCTCTCCTACAAAGCTTTCTCCATCTAATAAAGTGACTATATATGATTGAATGATTTATTGCACAATGCCAAATCAAAACAATATATTATTAAAATGTACAGTTAATTGATTTTTATGATATATTGTTATTGTACCATCCACACATGCATAATTTGTATGTGATTATTTAATGTATTTAACGTGTGCATTACATGCTCTGTCCGAAAAATTTATTACAGAATAAATTGGTTAATTTTTTTTATTTGTATAATTTTGTTTAATGATTTATTGTTTCACTTGAAATAACACAATATTATAATTAATATTTTAGAAAAATATTAATAGTAGATTTGTCGATTATAAATAGTTTTTTATTGCTACTGAAATAGTATAACATTATAATTAATATTTTTGAAGAATATTAGTTGTTCATGAAGAATATAAATTATAATTTTCTTTTAGAATATTGATATATTGTCCTTGAAAAGGTTATGGTAAAATACAATGCGCTCCCGAAATAGCACATAGTTTGAAAATCATGTTATTTTAGTGTTTATCTTTGAAGGAAAACATGTAATTTTTTACTTGATTAGCTATTATGTTATATTTAATCATATTCTTCGAAACTAATTATATTTTCTTTTACTTTATTGTGTAGTTAGTCAAATGACACACATTACAAAACTTTAGTTTGCTGCTATGTGTGTTAATCATATTTTTTTAAACTAATTATATTTTCTTTTACTTTATTATGTGGTTAATCAAATGGCAAACATCACAAAACTTGAGTTTGCTGCACTAGACATATTTGGCAAAAATTATTTATCATGAATACTCGTTATTGATAAGCTTATCTCAAAAGATTTGGGAAAGACAATAAAAGAAGAAAACAAATAATCTCTGTAGGGTCGTGCAGAAAGATATGTGTTTATACATAAAACTAAATCACAAATTGGATATTGTTTACGCATCGAGGAACAGCTATATCATGGAGATCCGTTAAGTAATCATTGACAGCAACATCCTCAAATCATTCCGAAATTATTGCAAATGGGTCGAGAATGTGTATGGTTGAGAAATATGACCCATCATATCCAAGTATTATGTGAGTGAATTTCAACAAAGCATAGTTTAACAATTTTGTATGAAGACAATGCAACTTATATTACACCAACTCAAAGAAAGTTATACTAAAAGTGATAGGACGAAGCATATTTCTTCAAAAAATTTTCATACACATGAGTTTCAAAAGAATGACGACACTGATGTCCAACAAATTCGCATAAGAAACAATATGACCGATTTATTCTTAAAAGCACTGTCGATATCTACATTCAAGAAATTGGTTTACAAGATTGAAATGTGTTGACTCAAAGATTTTCAGTGATTAATATTAGGGAATAGCTATTCTCTTTTTTCTCCGCTTGGATTTTATCCCACTGGACTTTCCTAACAAGATTTTAACGGGGCAACATTTATTTTTGATACTTCAAAATAATTTTATTCTTTTTTCCTTCGTCTGATTTTTTTCCTATTGAGTTTTTATCAAATAAGGTTTTAACGAATGCAGATATTTTGTAATGTGTCATTTAAGGGAGAATATTATAAATTGTAAGTTTATCAGCGTATGACAATTATACCCCTGCAACCCTAGAAATTATTATCGTTATATTTCTGATCTAACTTATAAATATGGGGCTTTTATTCTTAATAAAACATAAAAAAAAATATTGATTTTCACTCCCTGTTCTCTTTTTCTTTCTTTTCATAACAACAATCATATTTTTTAGGATATATATTATTTATTGGTCACAAACCCATCCCATCCCATCCCACATATTGTTGCCACTACCTCAATCGTCACGACCACCACCAATGTTACCACCACCTCATAACTGCAACCAACATCACAATCATCACCACCCAAAAATCACCAAAAAATCAGATCCAAAATAATGCTATCACACAATCAAGCCGCGACCACCACTAACTCACTTGATCGCCAACATTGCCATCACAAACTGCAAGGAGTGGCCATCGTGCTCATCGTTGTTTCTATCCCAAACCCTAATAGATTCCTCCTTCAAATCCACCATACCCTTTCTCTCCCTCACACACCACAAGTCCAACCCCCGACAACACCTTCAAATGCCAACATCTTTGTTTGCAGGTGCACCTGTTTGCATACCACACCACAAATTTTGCCACCCTTTTCTCCTCTCTCGATTTTCTTTCTCATACATGAAAATTGCTGCCACATATGAGAAGACACAACTTGCCACATATGAGAAGACACAACCAAAATATGTTGCAAGCGACATTGTGATGATGCCTCTAGTACTACTAACAATTTGAATATTGACAAAAGTACGAAATATTCTCCATCTACTTTTACCTTGACTGGCGATAAGTCTCACGGCAACAATTGTTGCCTGGGTGGCAACTGTAGATGTGGCTTTACATCTGATGGTGAGAAAAAAAGGATAGAGAGATAGTGAGAGAAGAGAGATGCGTGATGTTTAGAGAGAGAAAGAATGGAGAGATATAGGATTTGGGATTGAAACCGTGTAGGTAGTGATGGCAATGGCAATGGCTCTGCTCGGCCCTTTAGCCCACAAGCACGGCTAGTGAAAGACGAGCCCGTTGGCAGGGCCGGGCTCACGAGCTCGTGTTTTTTTATTATTTTTTTGATTTTTTGACTTTTCTTTTGTAAATTTACACATTTTTTGATGAGTCCACGCATCAAAAATGGCTCGCGGGCATATGAGCTGAGCATGCTCGGCTTGTGGGATTGAGCCCCCTAACGAGCCCAAGCTGCCCACGAGTCGAGTTTTAACAAGCCGCTCGGTCTGTTTGACATTCCTACGTGTAGGATAGATTAATTAATTTTATAATATTTTTATTAATATTAAAAGTTTGAATTAAGATATGATTTCTGTATAAATAAATTTTAAATTTGATTTTTGAATTCTGATATATGTAATTTCCACTTAAGAAATACCGGTCCTTCTTCGAGCCCACCCGGGTTCATGACTCGAGCAGCCCATAATATTGCCAATTGCGCACAGTCAAATAGCCAAATACGACGCCGTTGATATCGTCTCCTACTTTTAGTCCTCTTCATTTTCCCTGCAAACCAGAATCGAAAGAAACAGCAAATAGTTTTCAGACTTCCAGTGCGTAAATGGCTTTCGCCACCCGATTATTTTCCAGATCCACTCGACAGGTCTTATTTATTTTTCTATTTTCTTTTGTTTCCTGAATTTCTTCAGATCAGTCGATCTTCTCGATCCCACCCAACCATAAATGATTTTTTTTCTTTTTCTAATTTAATGCGTGGAGGGATTTGATTTTTTAGACGGTGCAATTTAAAAAAAAAACTGTTTTTCCCCTATGATTCGGCGAAGAATTTCTTCTGTATTAATGGGTTTTTTGTAATTTATATACAATGGGCAGAATATTATGCGACTGGAGCATGCGATTCCGGCCCGTTCATTTGCTAAAGGAGCTGGCGGTGCTCCCCCTTCGTTAAAGGGTGATGGTGAGTTGTAATATTTTGGATTATTCTTTTGTTACTATTATCGTCTTTTCCGCGACCAGCTCTGGGTACATTGGTTTTGGAAAGATTGATTACACCGTGTGTTGATGATGATGAAAATGCAAAGTCAAAGTCAAATTTTAATGCTTGGAAATGATCTTTCGGTATATATATATAAACTATGTTTTGACAGGTCGAGACTGTGAATAGTAGGAATGATTAATAAAGTAGTCTCGATATCAGCCATGCTTGCCGGTGCTAGTGTTGTGGAAATTGATAAACATGTCGGACAAAGAAATACTGTAAGCCATTAACATCTGATGAATGTATATGAACTAAGTTGAGCAACAAAATTTGAAACGTATGCATACATATAATGGCAGGAAAATGGCTGCCTACAGACAAGATGAGCAGAAGTTGCATAAAGTGGCTGTGCAATATTACATAAATAGTCATCAACTAGCACTTGTGCGAAGGACTTATGTAATAATTACCTAGATGGGTTGCCATATGTCATAGAGGATTAAGTTTTTACTTAGCACGTTCTGATTCCCGAATCGACTTTTTGGTCAGACATATGCTTGTACTGATAGGTAAAGAATTCACGTATTGATTATCAAGTTAGATGACTTATCAAAGAGCAAGCAAGCAGGGATAAAGGTGCAAATCTAATGGAATTTCGGCAATGAAATCTTTACAACAATTTTTGTAATTCCATTGTAGTTGGGATAGCTAGATAAGGTTCAGTTTTGTTGTTTGTGCAGTATTTTAACTTCCTTCACTCTTGCATTTCACTTCATTCATTTCGGAGATGCTTGCATGATCGTTTATTTTTTTATGCACGTGATGAATTTGGGAAAAAGATGTAACTGTATTTCCTCAAATCCTTGTGCCTGTTTATATACTTATATTTGTTGGCTTGTATGTCCGTTTCATGGGGTGGATAGGAGAAGATTCATGCCATCATAGTCTTCAGTATCTTTTTTCTTTTTTAACCTGGAAGTAGAGTACAATGGTCAACTCTTACTTATATTTATGATTTTAATGTACACACTGGCAAAGTTGATTCAGCTTCCATCCACCTTTGGCACCGCATACTCAAAAATAACAAAAAGGAAACTGAAAGAATGCAACCTGAAATTGAGAATAGTCAAATTTTGAGATACTGCACTTCCCATTTATTGTGGAGCTTTGAACATGTGTTTTAAAGCTATTGAATAGAGAACGTGTTAAACACTTTAGTATTTCTTAAAATGAGTTTAAGAACAAAAGAGAGTTTTTTTATTGGAATTGGTGGTGTTACTTGTGTAAGGGAAGGCAAAAGGTATTGGATAATAACATTGCATGCACATTTGCACTATAGTATTAGGCAGTACTCGACAGTACAATGTCTGAGATTATAGTTACTTTTTCTTTCTTAATAGTGCCAATCAAATCTACCGTACCAAACATGATGGGACTATGTACTACTTATATTGTTGTAAATTTATGAGCTTCTGACTGTTGCACATATATTTGAAGAGATGCTGAAGGGCATTTTTCTGGAGGTTAAGAAGAAATTTGAGACAGCCCTTGGGGTTCTCAGAAAAGAAAAGATCACCATAGATCCTGACAATCCCACTGCAGTGGCTGAATATAACAAAGTCATGAAGACTGTAAGAGAGAAGTAAGATTTTCTTGTAAATCTCGGTGGTTTTTGTGTATTTGTATTTACCAAATTAAAAAATATCTTTCAAATTGCATGACAACAGACAAGAAAATTTTAGATAAGTCCTCACTGTATAGTGACTCAGTGAAAAGTGCATCGCATCAGCTATTTATCTGTTGGAACTATGTTTTGGTCATTATTTCATGCATGCTTTTGTGGTCTCTCATTTTCACACAAATAACGCAACTATAGGAGCATCGAGATATATTATCAACTTATTGTGCAGTGTGATTATTACATACAGAATGGGTGATTGTTTGATCACTGTGCTGGCCATAGACACGCTTCCATAGATTCAATTATTCTTTTACTTTTAACTTCTAGACTTGTAGTTTTTTGCTGCTTGTGGTTTTAATATTTTTCTTCGTTGTTTGTACTAGTGGACATCCTTAGCCTGTATTTTTTGTTTCTTATCAGTCAATGAATCTATTTCCTTTTATTTTTGAAAAATTGCATGCTTTTATCCTTCCGAAAAATATATAAGCATCCTATTATTAAGCCTTTTTCATCATTCAACCCTGTTTGCTGTTTCTTTAATTGTTGAATTTATTGTACCTGCAGGGCTGATCTCTTTTCAGAGTCACAAAGGATCAAATACACTATTGAAACAAGAACACAAGGTATTCCAGATGCTCGAACATATTTGCTGACGTTAAAGGAGATAAGGATCAAGTATGTATTTTGCACTTTATCTGCTGCATTGGTTTCAGTGCCCCTTAACAGTTCATGTATAGGTTTTTTATTTCTTTTATGTTTCTAGATGAATTTTAACATCATCATATTTCTGCATAAATAGATATTTGAATGCAGAAATTATCTGATTCTTGATTTCCTAGGTTAGAACATTATGGGATAATGTTCTGTACCCAAGGATTGAATTGTTTCTCATTCAATCTATATTTAGTCCACTTGTATTCATTTTCTTCCTTTCTTTCTTTCTCCAGGAGAGGCCTTACTGATGAACTGGGTGCAGAGGCTATGATGATTGATGCATTGGACAAAGTTGAGAAAGAACTGAAGAAGCCTCTTATGAGGAATGATAAAAAGGGAATGGCCCTCCTTGTGGCAGAGTTTGATAAAATCAACCAGAAGTAAGTTCCAGGAGGCAAGCTTACAAAATCTTCGATCAATACTATAAAGCATTATTAATAAGCATTAATTACTAGTGGTCACTGAAGTTCCTGTGAAAACTCATGTTGGTCACTACATTTTTTTACTGAACTTAAACTTTGTTACACTTTTGTTACTTGGTCCATGTTCTCCAATTTGACATAGCAGAAAAGGTGATGCGTAACGAGACTGTCACGCACATTTGCCATTAGTTAACTTTCTTAACGTGGACAGAAAGACTAAATTGTAAGAAATGTTTTAGTTTAATTAACAAGTTGAAACAAAAGTTAAATTTAGTGATCAAGATAGAACAAAATGAAGTTTAGCAACCAACACAGGACTTGATACCTTGCTTAAAAGAATAAGATGTGGCCAGTTGACGTCGACAAATTTCAGAGGCTAATAAGCATGATAAACTTATTGCATTGTTTAATTCTGGGTCTTTGTCACCTGATTATACTTTTTTCTTTTCCATTTTCGGTTATGTAGGCTCGGAATTCG